GCTGAAGCTGAAACTCCAATACTTTGGCCACCTGATGCGAAGAGCTGACTCTTTTGAAAAAACCCTGATGTTGGGAAAGACTGAAGGCAGGAGGAGAAGGGATGACAGAGGATGAGATGGTTGGATGGCATTACTGACTCAATGGACATGAGTTTGAGTAACCTCTGGGAGTTGGTGATAGACAGGGAGGCCTGATGTGCTGCAGTTCATGGGGTCGCAAAGAGTCAGACATGACTGAGCGATTGAAGTGAACTGAACTCCGAAAATTAAACCACCACACTGGGAGTGAACCTAAGCAAACACACTTTAATGTACTGACTGAATCCTGATGGCCTAGAATTAATTTCCAGCAGTGAGAGGGAACATTCATTTTATAGTGAGATATGGGAAGTGGCAATGACATGCCCAAGGTCACAAGGGTCCCAGGGGACTTTATTCCCACCAGGCCTGTGTTGCACGGGAATAAGCCCAGCACTTGGGTCCCCCGGGTGAAGAACGGTGCTGACCCCTAGGGCCAGGCAGAAGCCAGAGAGGCACAGGTCAGGTGTGAGGGAGCTAAGAACCCCAGAAACTGCCCTGCAGGCCTAGACTGTATGGCCAGGCCTGGAGAAGGGAAGGGAGTTCAGGTATCTCCCCCTTGCCCACCCACATGGGCCTTCACCTTTGACATCTTTGGTTTCCACAGAGCTCCTTCCCAGGAACTTCTCCTTCCAGTCACTGGACAGCAGCTTCTCGATGGCCGGCACAACTGGAAGATAGCAGAAGACTGAGAAGCAACCATCCTAACACCACCCCACCCAGGCCCCCATCTCTAACTAGGGCAGATGTCTCACCTTCTTTTAAATTTCTGTTGAAGTCCAGCTTCTCCTGGCTTCCAGAAGCAGCCTCGGAACCTCCTGGTCTCCTGGGTTCTGGGGACTCACTGTTCTCCAGGGAGCTGCTGTCCTGCAAGACATACTGGGTGTCCCCGTCACCCTAAGAGAAGAGGGACAGGTGGGGGTGGCGCTGAGCACCCCAAGGATGCTTGCCCTGGGGAACCCCAGAATCTACCCAGCTCCCAGCCTTCAGGAGGGCCCTCTCTTCCCACCTCCTGACCTTTGCTCTGACTTGGCTTAACAGATTTCGTGAAAAGAACAAAAGGTTTTAAGACAAGAGATCTGGGCTCACTGACTCACAATGTGCTTAATCACATATGAGTCCCTGAACTTCTATGAACCTGACCTCCCTCTTCTGAAAATGGAAATACTGAAACCTCCTTTTGCCATAGGATTATAGCTGGGATCAAAGGAGTTAATGCATGTGAATGAGGTTTGCATTGCAGAGCTGAAGCCCAAAAGTCAGCTATTAATTATTACTCCCTTGCATGCACCTACCACTCCAGCCTGGCCAATTACTCTCAGGGTCCCCACTCCTACCCTCTTTCAGACATTGTTCCCTCTCTCTCCTCTTCTCACCTGAGTCTTCTCCATTCTTTAAGGCTCAGCTTAAAGTCTTACTCCTCCAGGAAGTCCTCCTTGATTCACTACCCCTACTTCTAGCCCCCTTTCACCTACTCCTGGCTGGATCCCTCCTCAGAGCCCTAAAACTCTCCTCATTTTCACTCATTTGGCTTTTGATTACATATTTCTTTTACATCTCTTAAATGGAATCATGGAATTTTTAAGAGCTGAAAGAATCGTCACCACTCATATAGTTCAGCTCCTTCATTTTAAGGATGAGGAACTGTATTGCCTTTAATAGTGATTTAAACTCTGGTTTGGGTAATAAGACTGATTTTCTCTAATCAGTAGTAGATTCAAAAGTAGTAGATTTCTACTACTAGACAAAGCTAGTAGATTAAGCTAGACTATAAACGTGTGCATCTTATTTCTCAACTAGTCCTCAAGGGTAAGGACCGCTCAGACATAGGTTAACAGTTAATATCAGGTGAGTGAGGGCAGGAGTGAGTCCAGGTCCGGCTCAAACAGGTAGCCTGACCCACCCACCCACCTGTCCACCTGCCCCTCTCCCCTGCTAGGCTGTGGGTGCCTGCTCCATCCACTGGGGGAATGGGCACATGCACAGGAGCTGCAGAGGTGGGCTGAGGACCCTGACCCAGGAGCCCCAAGAGACTGCTGGGCACCTGGGCTGGAGCTTGCTGGTCAGCACCATCCTGGGGGGGGCGGGATGGGTTTCCAGGCGGCAGTTCATCTGCAGAGGCTGAGCCTTGGGGGGCCTCGTAACAAGGCTCCTTCTTTCCCTCTGCCTTGACAGTACAGTTCACCATGGTGCCAACTTCATCCAGGACCAGCTGGGCAGAGCCGGGGCTCCTCATAGACATCCTGAGGGAGGAGGGGCAGAGTCAGGGGAGGGGGTCCTGAGACCCCGGGCAGTGACCGCTGTTCCAGCCCCAAACAGGTACACTCATGCAAAAGACATGCTCCACTTGGAACTCACTGTGACTGGAAAAGATTCTTGTTTCCACCCCCCACCCCCCAACCTTTTTAAATAGAAAGGTCTAGAGGAGACTGGGCCGCCTTCTGTCGTACCCTGCCTGTTGCAGCGCTGGGACTAGTGGGCTGATGGGTTCCACCAAGAAGGCTAGAAACTTAAGTGGCTCTTTCTGAGCCCAGTAAAACCAAGATCATATATACAGTATGTGTCTGTGTATGTGTAAGAACATACTTGTAATTAGTTACCAAAATTTAAAAATCAAGAGATAGCACATAAAAATCTGGGCTTGAACTCTCCTGAAGCTAGTCTGTGGCAATAACCGGCTGGGGTTGAGTAGCAGTTACTCTTTATGAAGAGGCCAGATTGTTTCCCTCTCCACCACTCACCAGGGCTGCCCTTGGTGGCTCAGCTGGTAAAGAATCCACCTGCAATGCAGGAGACCTGGGTTCAATCCCTGGGTTGGGAAGTTCCCCTGGAGAAGGGAAAGGCTACCCACTCCAGTATTCTTGCCTGGAGAATTCCATGGACAGAGGAGCCTGGAGAGCTACAAGTCCATGGGGTCGCAGAGAGCCGGACACGACTGAGGGACTTTCACTTTCACACTCCCTCCTACTCCCTCAAACAGAAACCAAGTATTGACTACCCTATACACGTATTCTTTGTTTTCCTTATAGTAGAGGCAAGATAAAAGTGAACTATTTCCAACTATTCCTTGCATCCATCCATCTACCAAAAGTGAGGTGAGTTGAAGTGACCTAAGGGATGAGTAGCTTTCAGAGAAATATTTTCTTGTATCTGGTTAGAGTCTCTCAACTAGAGTCTGGCCCCCTCTGGGCCTCTGCAATCCCCGGTGTAACGAAAGCAGAGATCGAATCTCCTACTTCTGTTGCTGACACCATGCCGTGTGGGATCACCAAACAGCTGAGCAGGATCCTGGGAGTCGCTTTTGGTGGTCATGCCAGGCTCAAGGCCAGAGCAGCAGATGCCCTGCTCCCCCTCCAAAGTCACAGAGACAAGCCCAGCTGGGACACACAGCAGGTTCCAAGAAGGCATGGGTCTTGCCTCAGCTACTCCACGAGCTGCTGAGTAATCTTGGGTAAGTTTCTTAACCTTCCCATACTGTTTTCTCATCTGTAAAATGGACAGTGTGAAGTGATGAATCGATATTTACAAGGTGTTCAGAAGAGTGCTCCGTGCCTTTGTTAAAGCACAGCCAGCTGGAATGCAGCGCAGGACGCAGCCGGCATAGCCTGGGGGCTTGTTTGAAAGGTGAAGTCATGGGTCAGGCACAAATCAGGATTTCTGTGGGTGAGGCCATGAATCTGTTTTAACAAGCCCTCCTGGTGATTCTGATACATAGTAGTTTGAAAAGCTTTGTTAAATAAAACTTAAAAAATTTTTGTTTACACGGGCATTACATTTTTAGGAGGGGAATGTAAGGCAAGAATTATATATAGTAAAACATCCTTCAAATTAAACTGCAGGTGAAGTATATTTGTATATTACATCACCTCTGTATAACAAAATACTTCTTGTAAGGGATGATGCGATGTGCTACACACGATAGATGCACACAACTGTATACATGCACAGAATTTCATATGAAATAACTGAAAGCATTCCAGTCGAATAAGGTGTATCTGCTCGGTTTGATGCCATTCTGCAGACCAGACCAGACCAGACNCCCGCCGCCCCCGAGAGCTCGGTCCCGCTGTGCCCCCCACCCCGCGCCCCGCCGCTGAAGGCCGAGGCGGAGGAGGTGATGCTCGGTCCTAGAGAACCCCAGGGCCGCACGGCCCGGTACCCCAGCCACCCCCCTGCTGAGCACCTGAACCGCGGCTGGTCCCAGTGGAAACGTGCAGAGTACAAATTACACCCCCGTTTTGGAAGCATTAGGACGAAAACATAATGTAAAACAGCTCATTAATGACTGGTTATTGATTACTCGTTGAAATTGTAACAGTTTGGACATTTTGGGGTTAAATAAAACATAGCGTTAAAATTTGTTTCACCTGTTTCTTTTCGCACTTCTTATTGTAGCTAGGAAAAAACGTGTGTAAGTGTGGCTCACATTATATTTCTGTTGGACCGTCTGGCACTAAGACATCTCTTCCCTTTGACCTCGATGGCCTTTTCTACCCACTCCTAACTCCTAAGAGTACACCCAACTGGGTACTGAGATTAGCTTTATTTTGGGGGGGCTCCCAACAGTGCATCCCAGCTTCTGACACAGCGCCTGGTAACAAAGCAAATGGCTCTTGGAGACCAGTCAAGCTAGCTTGGAGGTGTCAGTCTGGTCACCAGGGTGAGGCACGCCCTCAGATAACCTGCCAGATCCTGCTAGCAGCCCAGAAAAGGGCCCTCCATTCCCACAGGCGTCTGTCTCCACTGCAGGCACTGGCCCTGGCTCTCCACTGGTCCCCTCCCTGGATTCATTGGTTTATGGAGACGCAATAGCCCAGGGTTGATGCAGAGTGCAGCCTTCAAGGTTTAACAATCTGGATTCAAATCTCTGCCCTGCCACCAACTGACTTCTGTTACCTTGGGAAACTAATGAACTCTGAGCCTCCACCTCCTAACCCATATAATGGGTATAATAACCCATCTCTCACAGGTGTCCTTGGAAATTAAATAATACAGGGTGAGCATCCATTAGGTTGCCATGTAGCCCAGGAAGCTCCTAGAGGCAGGTGGTTGAGAGAGAAGTCTCTGGGTCAGAAGATCTGAGTCCATTTGAATCCTAACTTTGCTTAATTGATTGCTGTGTACCATGGGCAACTGACATAACCTCTCTAAATCTCAATTTCCTCTTCAGTGAAATGGAAATAAAACTCCCAATATGAAGAGATTGAAGTGAAAGTCACTCAGTTTTGTCTGACTTTGCAACCCGGGAAGGGAAGGCAGAGCAGGAATTCTGTTCCATGTTGCAACCCCATGGACTGTAGTCCATGGAATTCTCCAGGCCAGAATACTGGAGCGGGTAGCCTTTCCCTTCTTCAGGGGACCTTCCCAACCCAGAGATCGAACCTAGGTCTCCTGCATTGCAGGCAGATTCTTTACCAGCTGCGCCACAGGGAAGACCAAAGATGAAGACATTAGCCTTCCATTAACACTTCAGACCCTATAAGATGTGCCTGTTTTACATTCTCTTGGCACCCTGAACTTGCGACTTCAAAGTACTTTTCACAATTGGTAATGATACCTTCACATGTTTTATTTCTGACTGGCCCAGTAGCCTGAGAACCCATCCAACCCCACACTGTGAAAATAAGCTTAGTTTTGTTCATCAGTATAGCCCCAGAGTCTAGCACAGTGCCTGGTACATACAGGTGCTCAATAAACATTTGTACAACACTCAGAGAGTATAATATAGTTCAGAAGCATAGGACAAGGCAGATCTGAATGCCTAAGTGACAACTATTATAATCATCATCAGATGGATGTTGCTCTCTGGGGCTAATTTCCCACACCCCCACCTCCCAAACCCAGTTATCCTTAGCTGCATCTGCCTTGCATCTAAGCTCTTCCTATGAATGACCCAAATCGCCCAGTAGGCAAGGCAAATCCATTTCCTTTTGTTCCTACCTTGGGACAGTAAGAAACATTTTCCAAAGGTTATGAATTTATAAAGACCCTGTGGAGTCTTCCCTTAAGTCTTTTCCAGAGATTAAAAAAAAAAAAAATTCTCTTATTACCCCTTCCCTACAAAGCATGCTCCATGCTTCAATCATATATACATGATTTTCCAGGAGGTTTTAGGGTCAGCAGTCACATCCTCCCCTCTCCCCAGATGCCCATAAGTCAGACTCTTCTGGTGCTCAAGAGATGTGGATTACGGGCCTCCCCCAGTCCCCACCCAGGTCCTGGTCAGAGGCCACGTTGTTGGGGCTCTCACTTGGGTAGAAGCGCTTCCATGTACCCAGTCTCCTCCTTCTTGCCCAGTCTTACTCATATTTTATAAACAGAGAAACTGAGGACCAGAAAGGTCAGGTTCACCTGGCTTGTTTGGGCGTACTGATTTAGGAATAGAGTCAGAGGACCTTCAGCCAGCTGGGGCACGGAGCAGTGTTCCTGCTCTGCCTTCCCTTCCCTTCCGGGAAACCCACCCCACAGGCCCTCCGCCGCCTTCTCCTGGGTTTAACCTCACCTGAGCATCTTGAGAAGGGAAGGCCCCTAGGGGAGAGGGCTCCGGCCAGCCCCACCCTGGATGCCGCAGAGTCTTGAGCCTCTGAGCCGACTGCAACCAAGCAGACTCCAGGTGCTAAGCTCCTTTTTCTCCTGCCTACAGTCAACACTCTCCCAGCCCCTCTGACCCCCTCCCACCCCAGGGGCACAAAAACTAAGCCCCTTTCTACCCCTAAACAAATCACCAGCCACTTCCTCTCCCAATCAGACAACAACCAGCCCAGCCAGATTGGAATCAAAGGACTTTTTACTCTCAGACCTTCCTCCCTCCATAACAACAGCCCGCCCCCCCCAAAATCTAGATACAGATAAAGATAGAGATAAATTCCAGTCATCGGAGCATGACGGGTGACTCAGACCCAGGGCTACAGGAAGGCAGGCCCTCCTAGGAGGGCTGGGCACACACCTGACCCTCTTCTGAGACCCCCGCCGCTGGGCTGGCTCTGCGTGGGTGGTGCAGAGGGCACTGCCAGGGAGGAAGCATGTGGCCGGGAGGGGCAGGGCCAGGGGACGGGTCCCAGGGGAGCGTCGCTTCCTTTCAGGGCCCCTGAGAGCCTCGGGCAGCCCTGAACAATGGCCTGAGGCGTGGGTGCCCAGCACGGTGCCTGGTGCCACATCCTGCCATTCTTCTCCCAGGCCGCACCCTGCCACCCTTCCTGGCTACGCCCGACCCTATCTCTGCTGTTTACTCAGAGCTGGGAGC